AGGCGGGGTCCAAGAGCAAGGCTCTGGCACAGGGGCTCTCTCACACTCCCACCCAGTCCTGCCTTGCGGCTCCTTGCTGGTGCCTCTGGCCCTGCCCTACAAACTTTCTGTGCTGCTGGAGAGGCTCTCTTCCTCTCCACTGAGTCTTCCTCTCGACCAAAAGGGAATGGCTGCATTGTGCTCTGCTGTCCGGGCAGCAAGACCTGCGCTTTGCTCTGCCGTCGCTCCCACGCGGCTTTGCTGTCTGCCAGCACCTGCAGGGCTGTCTTTTCCTGCCGCTGCGAGAGACAAGCAGTGGCCAGGCCCAGGGAGCCCTCTTTGCCCTGGAGGGGCACCTAGGCACCAGCACGTGGGGTGCTGAGCGTGGCAGTGACAGACACAGCTGGCAGGCAGGCAGAGTTGGAAATGCCCTGCAAGCACCACGTCTGTGGGGTCTTGCAGTCAGCAGCTCCGTCTCCCCTTCAGGTGCCACCATCGATCTGCAGAGAACATCCAGCAGCTATGCGTGGGAAGAGAGTTGGCTCTGCAGGGCTTTTTGGTGCTTCTACTCTCCAAACCCTCCAGATACTATTTTGCAGGTATTGTAGCAGAAGTCATCCATGCTGCTTCAGTTCCTTCCTGGGCAGTGGGTGACAAAGCCCAGGGGATCTCCCCTCTGGCCAGCAGGGTTGCTCAAGGGCCTGGCGGTGATCAGGTTCCTGACACCAGAGGGTTGACTTGCTAGTCTCCCTCAGGAGCAGGACTCAACCGAACGGAACTGAGTGGCCGCATCCTGCCCACAATCCCTGGTCATAGCTGGCTGAGGGAGTTTCTCCTTCGAGGCCCATTTGCCTACCTCACCTCCGACAGGCCCTTTTCAGAGGGGCTGGGAGGTGGCGGGGGGGGCCTGCCCCAACCGAACGGAACTGAGTGGCCGCATCCTGCCCACAATCCCTGGTCATAGCTGGCTGAGGGAGTTTCTCCTTCGAGGCCCATTTGCCTACCTCACCTCCGACAGGCCCTTTTCAGAGGGGCTGGGAGGTGGCGGAGGTGGCCTGCCTCGCTCCCTCACCATTCACTGCTGTGGCACTCTGCTTTCAGCCGGACGTTTCCCCGGGACAGTGCTGGCCTTTCCAAGGGTCGCAGGGCCAGGTGGTCATTTGGCTGCCTGCACGGATACAACCAACCGCCATCACCGGGGCGCACA